GCTGTGTCTGTTTTTCAAAACAAAGGCTTTTCTCAAAAGCAGCTCTTCAAATGACCTTTGGCTCAGCTAGTGATTTGGAAGGGAAGAAAAGAAAGGAAGGAAGGAAGGAAGGACAGAAGGGAGAAAGGAAGGAAGGAGGAAGGAAGGAAGGAAGGAAGGAAAGGAGAGAGGGAGGGAGGGAGGGAGGATGGAAGGAAAGAAAGAAAGGAAGGAAGGAAGGAAGGAAGGACAGAAGGGAGAAAGGAAGGAAGGAGGAAGGAAGGAAGGAAGGAAAGAAGGGAGAAAGGAAGAAAGGAAGGAGGAAGGAAGGAAAGAAGGAAGGAAGAAAGGGAGGAAAGAAGAAGGAAGGAAATGTTACCCAGAAGATATTGGGAAAAGATTTCTGCACTGGCATAACTGTGTATTTAAGTAGATTTTAATGTAAATCATCACATACCTATCTTTTAATGATATTTATAATAATCCAAAGTTATTTATCAAGTTCTTCCTTTGTCTCATGTAGCATGGGAAACTAACAGCTGTCGTAGACATATTTTTCTGTTTCCTTTCATTCTTACTCTATTTTGCATGTGCTGGAAAACGGTTAAGCATGGCTAAGGAAGAAGGACTTGCGTGAAAACAATCTGCATATTTTCCTAACTCATATTTAGATCCAATTTTTTTTCCTACTCATCCACTGAACTATAAAGCCCATTTGTGACTATCTTTTTTTCCCACCTCCTCAAATGGGGCAATTTATATGCAGACTCAAGTCGCAGAATATAAACAACTGAAAGATACGCTGAATAGGATTCCAAGCTTCCGAAAATCTGACTCTGCAGAGCTGCACAACGGAACCTTCCCCCAGGTGGCCGGCCTTCCACATGGGGACCACGCAGCTAGGGCGAAGCCAGCCGGAGAGCTGCAGGAGGTAAGGGATGGATTCCCCACACTGCCCACATCGCCTTGTACTCAGCTTCAAGTGTATGTGGAAATCCCCAGTCGGGCTTGCTAAAACACACACTGCACAGGCTCAACTTCACAGTCAGTTCATTAGGGGTGGAGGCCTGAGGGGGTGCAGTCCTTACAGAGTTAGTTGGTCCAGGGAGGGAAGTTGTGAATTACTGCAGCAGTGTTTGCTGGAAAAGGCTTTTCTGATTGGCTTTGTCTTTACTCCTCGGGTAGTACTTGAGTAGCTGGGGTTTGGTTGATTTTTCTTTCTCATCCTTTGAGTAGGGTGAGGAAGGTTGGTTTGATCTGATTGTGAGGATAATGTGTGACAATCATCCCTGCCAAGCTCCATCAAGCATACAACTTAATGGATTGAATATATTTGAATATCTTTGAATTAGGTCCATGGAGAACATGTCAAAATTATCAAAGTTGCTGTTTAACAGTACCTGAGTGCCAAGCACTGGTGGCTCATGCCTGTAATCCTAGCTACTCAAGAGGCTGAGGATCATGGTTCAAAGCCAGCCTGGGCAGGAAAGACCTTGAGCCACTGGAAGTAGCTCAAAGTGGTGGAGCACTAGCCTTGAGCAAAAAAGCTCAGGGACAGTGTGCAGGCCCTGAGTTCAAGCCCCACAACTGACAAAAAAGAAAAAAAAATACAGTGCCTGGGATCCAAGTGCTAGTCCTAAAATACATGAAATTCTTGCTCTTCAAGCCTTGCTTAAGTATATGTCAAAAGTGGGACAAAGCTACAGACTAACATTTAAGCTTATGCCTGTAATCTCAGGAAGACAGACACTGGGAAGAATCACACTCAGAGGCCAACTCCGGCTAAAAGTTGGTGATAATGAGGCTAGGAAGGTGGCTCAGTGGTAAAATGCTTGCCTTGCATGCATGAGGCCCTGGGTTCGATTCCTCAGCACCACATAAGCAGAAAAAGCCGGAAGTGATGCTGTGGCTCAAGAGCTGAAGAGCTGAGGGACCAGAGTTCAAGCCCCATGACTCATCCTCCCTGCCCAAAAAAAAGTTAGTGATATCCTACTACCCCCAATAACAGAGATGGTGGTGTGCGCCAGAAGTCTCTGCCACGCAGGAGGCCATGGACAGGAAGATTGCAGTCAGAGGCTGGCTCCAGGCAGAAGAACACAAGGTTCTATCACAAACATAATTGAAACAAAAAAGGGCTGGGGTCGTGATTCAAGTGGTAGAGCACCTACCTCATAAGGGTGTGGTCCTGAGTTCAAACTCTAGTACTATCAGAGTTCTTTCTGCAATCACAATGCAGTTTCAAAAAGAGAGAGGGAAAAAGAGGGGGGGGAAGAGAAGAGGAGAGGAGAGGAGAGTATGGCTATCTTTCCCCCAACAGTCTTAAAAAAAAAAGAAAGTTGAAGATGACCTGCACCCATGGGACAATCTGATGGGATTAATGAACACATGAGACTCTTATGGGAGTGATTGATTTGAAGTGAGTGATCTTCTCTATGGTTCAGAGAATTCCTCACAAGCATAGTCTACATTCTCTCTGTGTGTGAGTATTAACGTTAGCCACCAGACCTTTCTTTAGAGAACATGACAGGCCGCTAGGTTGCTTATGTTCTGTGCCAGCCTGATGACGGGTTTGCTGGATTAATGGTCTAATGACTCAGGGCTTTCATTTTCCCATCTGTGGCTTGAAGATAGTAGTTATCTACTCTGTCTTTGTGGGGGCATTGTGAAGATAAATGGCAGGTGTTTGGAAAGCACTTAAGGGTTCTTTAGAAAACTATTTCCTGTAAAGCCAGGGCACTCATGTGTCAAGACTATTTTGCCAGATAGTTGAAGACTGAGGCAAAATGAAAACTCCACAATCTGGCCTCAAATGGCTGAGAATGACCTCTGTCCCTAGTACACACTTGATAAACTCCCAGATCTCGTTTGGTAATTATATTCCTGCTACTTTTAAAAATGATACTTCACATTTCAATTTGCTTATGGATAGAACTCTAGAGATTTCCAGCTATAGAGGAGTTATCTGCCCAAAGAATTGTTTTCCTGATAAAGAAGACCAAAGAGGGAGATGCATGGTAGTATTTGCTGTCAATACTGCTGCTCCTCCATCTCTTCTTAAGTGACACAGACCAGAGAGAGAGATCTCTGAGACTTTATGAAAAACCATCTTGAATCCACCAATTTTAAAAGAAGAATATTCTAAAATGTGGTGTTCATTCATTTAATTTTTGTGTGTATGTTTGCACTGGTAGCTTTTTCCACTCAAAACTAGTGCTCTAACCACTTGAGCCACATCCCCACATCTGTCTTTTTGCTGGTTAATTAGAGATAACAATCTCTTGGTTTTGGTGCCCACACTGCTTCTGAGATCCTTAGATCTCAGCTTCCTGAGTAGATAGAATTATAGGCATAAGACACTGGTATGTGGCTATGTTTATTTTTTGTTATTGTTCAATTTTCTGTGTTGTCACTATAAAATATTTATGAATAATTCTTTAGTTCACCAAAAAGGAAATTCTAATATCTTAAAAATATTTTAACCAGGCAACAACGAGTCATTCTTGTAACTCTAGCTACTCAGAAGACCAAGATCTGATGATTGTAGTTCAAAGCCAGCCTGGCGAGGAAAGTCCATGAGACTCTTATCTCCAATGACCCACCAAGAAGTTGGAAGTTGAGCTGTGGCTCGAATGGTAGAGTACCAACCTTGAGCAAAAATCTAAGGGACAGCACTCAAGATATGAGTTCAAGTACCAGCACCCAAAAAAAGACAGAAAAAAAGAAGGAAGAATGCTTTAGTGTATATTGTTTACCAGACCTGATTTTTTTTTGGGGGGGGTCTGGTTGTGGGGCCTGAACTCTGGGCCCGGGCACTGTCCCTCAGCTCTTTAGCTCAAGGCTAACGCTCTACCACTTAAGCCACAGCGCCACTTCCGGATTTTTTCTTTTTGCTTATGTGGTGCTGAGGAATCGAACCCAGGGCCTCATGCATGCAAGGCAAGCACTCTACCACTGAGCCACTTTCCCAGCCCCAGCCCTGATTTTAAATTGGCAAGGACTTACATTAGTACTGGCATCCTTTTAAATTGTTAGAGACCCAATCTAATCGCGAATAGGCCCAAGACTCTCTAGTTGCATTGTATCCTTCTCTGTACAGATAATTATTGGAAACACACGTGACAGGGAAGAAGATGCTGTAAATATTTTAGCACTAAAAGTCTGAGGGCTTTCCCTTTTTATTCTGAGGGAAAGCTAGATTGCTTTTGAGGGAACTGCTTACTCCAGAGATGTATTTCCTAATATGTATGAGGTTTTCATATGATTTTTCAGGTTATTGACTGCATGCTTTCTGGGATGAAATTTTGCTTAGACCACCTCAATTTTATAAGTGAGATTACACAGTGAGAAGAATTACCGTGTGTGTGTGTGTGTGTGTGTACACGCATACTTGTCCTGGGACTTGAACTCGGGGCCTGAGTACTGTCCCTAAGCTTTTATGCTCAAGGCTACCACATTACTACTTGAGCCAGAGCTCCATTTCTGTCTTTTTTGGTGGTTGATTGGAGATAAGAGGCTCTGGGACTATCTTTTTTTTTTTTTTCTTTTTGGGTCAGGTCATGGGGCCTGAACTCTGGGCCTGGGCGCTGTCCCTCAGCTCTTCAGCTCAAGGCTAGCGCTCTACCACTTGAGCCACAGCGCCACTTCCGGCTTTTTTCTTTTTGCTTACGTGGTGCTGAGGAATGGAACTCAGGGCCTCAGGCATGCAAGGCAAGCGCTCTACCACTGAGCCACCTTCCCAGCCCTCTGGGACTATCTTGCTAGGGCTGGCTTCAAACCACAGTCCTCAGAGTAGCTAGGATTACAGGCATGAGCCACTTGCACCTGGCTTTACTCTTATAATTTTTTTTTAGAGTCAAGCTTTTTGTCTATTGTCTATCTTTCCAGACTCCAGCATCTTGCTTATGGTGTAGCCCCTTAAAATTCTATGACTGCTTTTGAAACAAAAGAGCATCATGCTTTCTCGTGTTGGGCTTGTCCCTAGGAGTTTCGAAATCCTGAGGTGTGGCAGAAAAACGAAGCATTGCCTAGAAGAACAGAAGAAAGGAAAACCCGCCCTGCCACGCCGCCGAACGAGGCAGAATTTCAGGCTCCGATACAAGAGAACCCACACGGAGTGGAGCCCCGGGAGCCAGAGGAACATCAGGTGGAAGAGGAGCACAGAAAGGCCCTGGAGGAGGAGGAGATGGAGCAGGTGGGGCAGGCAGAGCACCTGGAAGAGGAGCACGACCCATCGCCAGAGGAGCAAGACCGGGAATGGAAGGAACAACCACGCCTACCGGAGGCTGCCCAGCCTGTACAGGGAGGAGCTGGCGCTGAGGTAGGCCCTCTCCAAGTCCACTGGGCTGGGGAACACGTGGCTTTAGGTATTGAAAAAGAAAGCCACTCCCCTGCCCCATGAACCCCAGTACCTTTGAAAGATTGAAGGAGTTCACTGAAGGCTGTTTCACACATTGAAGTGTAGTTTTGTAAATACTGATCGTGTGCATAGCGACCTAGAGGAAGATGGAGGACATGAGTACTTGTCAATGGGGAGTGAGCTGTGTGTGTGTACTTCGGGCTGTCCAGAGTGTTCAGAGTCCCACTTGACTTCCTTCCTGTGCTCAAATCACAACTTGAGGAAGAGGAGGGAGATCTCAGAGGTTAAGACTGTCCCCCTTCCCCCCTCCCCCCGCTTCTGTCCTTCTATGGGGGCTCAGTTTGCTGGCTTTTGCCTGATCAGAAATCCATATCTGAAAGATTTTATTTTAGTGTGTGTGTGGGGTGTGTGTGTGTGTGTGTGTGTGTGTGTGTGTGTGTGTTTTGGCTGGTACTAGGGCTTGAACTCTGGGCCTCTAGGCACTGTCCCTGAGCTTTTTCATTCAAAGCTAGCACTATACCCTTTGAGCCACAGCTCCACATTTGGGTTTTCATAGTTAATTGGAGATAAGAGTCTCCTGGACTTTTCTACCTGGGCTGACTTTGAATTGTGATCCTCAGCTCTCTGCCTCCTGAGTAGCTAGGATTACAGGTGTGAGTCACTGGTACCTCGCTTTTTTGTTGTTGCTGTTTTTGTTTGTTTTTTTTTAATCAAAGATTCTCATAAAAGGATATTCCACTTGGAACACGTGCTTAGCACATTTCTGTGTAGACTCTGTCTCCAGAACATGCCCCTACTCACTAGGAACACCTTTCCCATGTCTATAAAAAGCAGTCATCATTGCAGCGAATACTTGAAACAAACTTAAAGCCACAGAGTCCAGCAGTGGGCTCCTTGGCCTTTTCTGGACTCTAGCGATTTATTTAGTGATTTAGTTATCTTTGGCAGTTTTGGGGCTGGAAGTCAGGACCTCAGCACTGTCCCTTAGCTTTTTCCTTTAAGACTGGCACTCTGCCAATTGTGTTGTGCCACCACTTATGTCTTACTTAGCTGGTTAATTGGAGATAAGAGTCTCATGGATTCCCTGGCAAGGGCTGAGTAGCTAGGATTATAGGTATAGCTACTGGTGCCCGGCTCTACAGTCATTGATTTATAATGTGAGTTTCGTTTGGTATCAGACTCTCTGACAACTGAAGCTGGCTGTGGCTTCAGGTCAGGTAGGTGTGAGGTCTCTCGTTGTCCCTTGTTTGCTTTCTTGCACACTCAGCCTCGACAAGCTTCTACTAGCCTGTGTCCTTCCCACTGTGAGAAGCAGCCTTCCCCTCCTCTCAATGAAATCCCCTCCCTCTACCTTCTGCTGGGGATATTGCATGTGTGTTTGTTCATGAGGGATGACAGACAAGGATGCATAGCTCAAGTGGAAACAGCATTTTAACAAGTGCTGTCTCTTAATTTTCCTTTAATCAGAACCAATGATCTTTTCCCCCATTCCTGGTTTCTTTAAAGAAAATCTGTTCTTTGCTTTTCCACTGTAACCTGGGATTCAACTTTATTATTATCATTACTACTATTACTACTACTACTACCACCACGACTACCATTGGCCCTGTGTAACTAGAGATTAGTTTATATATTGCTGGAGCTAATTGGGCATCCATAGGTCTTCAGGTCTTCACGGACAAAGCCTTAGCCTCACAAATTTCCCCATGAGTGTGAAGTTACCAAGTGTTCACTTGCTCAAGAGGCTTGGGGACCTGGATTTAATTACAATTTGAAACCCATTTCTGGTGCTGTGCCTTGTTTTCTATGGGAGCGGAGAGGCCACGGAAAAGAATGACTGCCTTTATACCAGTGAATTAGGAAGATCAGAGGCACCAAGAATCCCAGGGCTATTCAGAGAACGCTGGCAAGTAGGAGTTTGAGCAGCCTATGTAGCCTCACCAGTCACTAGATAAGTAGGAGGGTAAAAAGCCAACTCTGCCCCTGAGTTTGTGGTGAGGAACAAGATGGTTGACCCCTCCTGCTCAGATCACCCTGGTTCTGTCCCAGGACCAGACATACCTTTCAGCCAGGCCAGATACCAAACCACGATCCCCTTATGAGGAGCAGCTGGAGCAGCAGCGGCAGGCAGTGCAGAGGGACCAGGAGGCCCAGCGGCTGCGACAGCACCAGGAACTTCTGCACCAGCAGAGGCTGCAAGGACATTTACTAGGACAGCAGCAGCAGCAGCAGCAGCAGCAGCAGCTGGCCAGAGAGATGGTCCAGCGGAGACAGGTGGAGCTGGAGGACAACCAGCAGCAGCTAAGGTAGCAGACACCCCTTCCCCTGGTGGCACAGACAGTCACTCCTCTGTTTTTAATAAATGCATCAAAGCCATGCTTGTGTGGGTAATGCTCCTGGAATGGGAGGGGCTCATTATGGCTCATGTAGCTAAGGTAGAGAAAGTACTTGAGTTAAATGCTCAAGTGTGTACACACACACACACACACACACACACTCATGTAGCTATGGTAGAGAAAGTATTTGAGTTAAATGCTCAAGTGTGTACACACACACACACACACACACACACACACACACACATCATTTTTCCCTGCTTCAACATGATGGTTTCAGTCTCAAAATAACCCAGTACTCCTTTTAGTTTGGTTTGACCATTAGAAAAATATTTTACCTTCTAAAGATACCTTTAAAAAAAATCTTTCCTCCCATTTTTAGTAGCATCCATTAATTAGTTGTATAGAAGGGGAGGCTCTTTGTAATGTGTTCATTGATGCATACAGTATACTTAGGGAGACTCCCTCCATCACTGTCCCTCATTCCTCCTGTCTTCCTCCCCAAACCAATCTCAGCACGTTTCATTGGTCCATTTTCACATATCCATCCATCATAACTGCATTCTTCCTTCTCCATTCCCCTTCCCCTTCACACACACACAAAAAAACTACTTTTTTACTTCTTTGTCATGCTTTTCTTTTTCTTAGTGTATGCTATCTGGAATCTTCATTACATCTTTTCTTGTAGATAAAAGATATTTTTAACTCATGGTGTTTTTTTTTCCCCCAAAAATATTTTTTAAAATCATGTGTATTACTATTTCGAAAAGGATCTTTGTCAGCCTGTGTCCAGTTGAACCTATGATATTTATGTCTTGGCAGGCAACAGGCTCATTATAACGCCATGGATAATGATATCGTGCAGGGAGCTGAGGACCAAGGAATCCAAGAAGAAGGAGGTGGTAAGGCTTCTCCAATGATGAAGGTTTTAATAAAATGACTTGAACTATAGTAGCATGCCTTATCAATGAACCAATATTTCATAACATCTGTAAGCTAGAGGCACACCCCAGTGAGTAGAAAGTCGGCCTGTGGACTAGTGTCCTTAACTTGTCTTCATCTTATGTACACCAGAGGAGAAACCTACTGGAGACAATCTATCTTTCCTCTTAACACATTCCCCCTAGTTTGAAGATTTCTGTGTACTGAATAATTGTTTCTGACAAATTTTCCTAGGCTTATGAGGCTGTGGGAAAGGTCTCCATTTCCTCTTTACCTTGGACGCGTTGGTGTCATCGCTTTGAAGGATTTTCAAGTTAAATCAGTAGTAGCTTTCATTGAGGACCGGAGTCTAGTCCATGATCTGTTAACTATTGCTTCCTGGGATAACGGAGCTGGAGGAAGCTGTGTCCTGGGTACTGCTGTTGCTCCCATGTTCATTCTTTTCTAGAAAGTCAAATGGAAGGCAGTGGAACACTCTACATCAGCAGCTGGCTATGATATTTTATAGCCATAAGAGCCAGGGAATCGTTTCCTCCATGGTCCCCATGGGTCATTTTCTGCTCTTTTGTTCTGTAATCAATAAGGCTAGAGAACATTCTGTTCACTTTGTTTAATAAATCCCTTCGCGTACCGGAGACCTGATGCTAACTTAACCCCGTATCTTTATGTCTGTGCACTAAATGCTCTCTGTGCACTTAAACTTTCCAGTATTTCCATTTAAAAAGCACCATGTTCCTTGTCTGTTTACTCTCACAATGCTCTTTACCAGTTTTCAAGAAGCAGCCATGTGATGTCTGAGGGAGACATGTATAAACATGACATAGGTCCCTGTGCTGTTTGGCATTGGCATGGCCCCAGAGCATTTGATGAGCTGCATTTGCATTTGAGTGCTACGGATGAGGTTGCTCTTTTATTCCCTAATCACTTTGCTGCTTTCCTTTTCTCTTCTTTTTCAAGTTCTGGGGTTTGAACTCAGAGCTTCATGCTTGCTAATAAGCAAGAGCTCTACTCTTCGAGCCACTCTGCCAGCCTGTTTTGTGTTGGTTATCATAGAGTTAGAACGTTGTTCTATCACGGTTCATGCCCAGACTGGACTGTAATCCTCCTATATTTGTGCCCCCTCTCAGCACTGAGATGACAGCTGTGTGCTGTTGGATCCAACCATGATGCTCCCGTAGTCTAGGATGACGAGTTCACAGGCAGCCATGGACTGAGACTGAATCTTGTGAACTTGGGTGCCCAGGCTGGCCTCCAACTGTGGTCCCCTGAACCTCTGCCCCTTGAGTAGCTAGGATTACAGGTCAGAGTCACTGCGCCCAGCTATGACATTACTTCTTTGAAATATCCACTCTTTCCATGGATATAAATGAAAAGTTAGTTGTTTATTTCAGCGATGTCCAAAGGACTAGACTTTCTTTTGAAAAAGTTTTGGTTGTTGTTCTTTTCTTGCCTTAACAGGAAAAACCATTCTTTACAAGGTTAGAATAGCCTAACTTACCCTTCCTACTTCATTGGATGACCAGGCTGTGAAATGAATCAAATTCTATTCAGCAAGGTTGAGACACAGTCTTGTGTTGAGTAAACAGAGATGGAAGAGAAATTGGGTGGTGTGTTCTCCATAAAAGCCCATTGATGGCTTTTCTTTTAATTGAAAGGGGACCAGTCCTATTTGATCCATTTGGAGCTAATTCTAGTTGCTTGCTTTGCCAGCCTATGAAAGAGATAACCAGCACCGGGATGAAGCTGAAGACGACCCCAGGAATGGACCTGAGCCTCAGGAGCCTGGACGTCAGGAAGCTGACCCAGAGTCGGAGGCAGATGTAAGTGTCTTCCCCACTCCTCCGGAACCTAAGCCAGAAAACTGACATGCATACACACACTCTGGCCTCTCGTGTGTGTGTGTGTGTGTGTTGTGTGTGTGTTAGCTCATCCGAGCAGAGGGTATAGACATGAGGGATTAGGTTGGGGATAGGGAAATCAAAGGTTTTTGACATGCATACACACACTCTGGCCTCTCGTGTGTGTGTGTGTGTGTGTGTGTGTGTGTGTGTGTGTTGTGTGTGTGTTAGCTCATCCGAGCAGAGGGTATAGACATGAGGGATTAGGTTGGGGACAGGGAAATCAAAGGTTTTTCCCTTTGATAACTTTTAGATGGACAACCTTAAAGCTAAAATGGAGGCACACAAAACCAAGAGGTCTTGATCTATGAACTCACTCTGAAAGATGGAAGGAAAGGTCTGGTTACCAGAGGAAGGGCAGTTAATCTTTTCTGAGCAAATGGAACCATCCGCTAGTGGTTCAGGACTGTCCAGTTCCTCTCCTCCCAGCCGTCCAGGGCCCAATGGAATCAACATGTACAAGGATTTGTGGTTGCAGTATGAGAAGAGATGAGTTCACCTGACAACATGGTATAAAAAATTTAGAATATGAACAGATAGACACTTGACTAACTGGCATTGTACTTTTTGTCTACCAAGAAAGGAACAAGCAATCCCTCTCTCTCTGCCCCACTCAGATGGATGGTCCAGGGCCTTTACCCCTAGATAAGCCAAGCCAATGTTGAATGAGTGTGTTCTTTTTTTTTTTTTTTTTTTGGTCGGTCGTGGGACTTAAACTCTGGGTCTTGGGTGTTGTCCCTGTGCTCTTCAGCTCAAGGAGAGCTTAGATAAGAGTCTCACGGACTTTCCTGCTGGGGCTGGCTTTGAACCACAATCCTCAGATCTCAGCCTCCTGAGTAGCTAGGATTACAGGCGTGAGCCACCAGTGCCCGGCTTCTTTTTTTTAATTTATTAATTTTTTTATTTTTTTATGTGTAGATGGCATCTGCAACTTCTTTTAGCTCTTTCATGATGTTTGGCTAACAAATCAACCCTATGTCTATAGCGTTCTGTTGATGCCATCCGGGGCCCTGTTTGTCCTGACCCAAGGCATTGAGGGGAAGATGGTTATCTTTCCTTGGTAATCACCCACCACATCTTCTTGCTGGGTGCTTGGAGCCACTTGACGGATGGGCTTTGCCATTTGTTGCTCTGAGATGTGCCTTCAGGAAAGGGTGCAGCAGGATCCTCACTCGGAAATGTTTTCACAAATGAACAAGAGCAGGCAGGAGCATTTGAGGTAGTAAATGTCCGTGAGAAGGAGCAAACCACGCTGCAGACACTTAAGTATGCATAAGAGGGATGAAGGAGCGGTGGCTGGAGACATGTGGCAGTCACTTAGTTTGGGAACTGTGGTAGGCTTTATCATGATCTCATACCTTACTGGCCTGACATCTGTGGTTCTTCGGAACACCCTTGGAAACACTGGCCTTTTTTTTTTTTTATCATGCTGTCTTCCTTTCTTCCTCCTTCCCTCTTTTTCTCCCTTTCTCCTTCTCTCCTCCCTCCCTTTTTCCCTCCTTTCTTTCTTTCTTTTCCTCTTTTCTCAGTGTTCCTTTCCTTATTTCCTTCTTCCTTCCTTCTTTCCTTCCCTCCTTCCTTTTTTTCTTTCCGTTCTCTCTCTCTATTTTTGTGTTGGTACTGAGGCTTGAATTCAGGACCTGAGTGATGTCCCTTAGCCTTTTTGCCCAAGGCTGGTGTTCTACCACTTCAGAAAGCTTCATTTCCTTTATGTTTTGTTGTTTGTTTGTTTTAATGATTCATCAAAGGTAAGGGTTGCAAGAATTTTCCTGCCAAGGCTGGCTTTTAACCCCAAACCTCAGATCTGATCTAGCCTTTTAGGAGTTAACCACTGGCACCTAGCTGTCATACCATCTGTCAACTAGAAATAGTCCCACTTTACCTTTGCATCCTAACCATTTCATTTGTGGGCTGTGAGTGCACACTGATGATTTGGCTGGACTTGGGGCTAGTGTGTGCACTTTTATGAATACTATAGCAGATGAGATTTTGAAGGTTTTTCTTGAAGAGAAGGGTGAATTTTCTCATAACTCAACACAAATGATTGATGACACGTACAAGAATCCTATATGGCAAAAGATTGCAGAGTAATTAGTTTGGTGTGAAGGTGCTAAAACTTATGGCTTGGCCTTGCTGAGAAGCGCGTTATTTGCACTTTAAGGAAGCCGGTGGCCAGGGCTGTGGAGTAATATATCATCTGAGCTCTGCAACACGTTCAAGGCTCTGGACAGAACTAAAGTGTAGAAACTCCTTGTCGAAAAATGCCTAGAGCAGATCCTGCTTTGTGACTTTAGCATCTCGAAGCAGCTGCCAATTTACCAAGTATCCTGGAGAATGCCCTGGTGGTTTGGGGAAGATGCTCACAGGGACTGCTGTTTCTGCCCATCTCAGCCTCTGCAGGCCGATCCTTGCCTTGGTGCAAGCATGTGTTACCTGACAGCTGGAGTAAACAACTGAAATAATTCTACAGTTGCTCCTTTGAAGGGCATTTGTTGGAAACAGTAATGGCAAATTCCTCCTTAGAAATGAGTTTAAGGGGATATTTTGCATAATCTATTGCCAAAGACTGAGTAGCTAATGTCTCTTGCTCCTTGTCAATACAACATCTCAGTTTCATGGTACTGGATTTTGTTTTGATTCTTTTTTTTTGTAACAATACCAGGGCTTGAACTCAAGACCTTGCTTAACTTGCTCATAGCTGGTGCTCTGTGACTTGAACCACATCTTCTGTCTGGCATTTTGCTGGTTAATTTGAGAAGATGTCTTGCAGACTTTGCTTGGACTGGCTTCAAGTTTGTAGTCTATAGATCTCAGCCTCCTGAGCTGCTAGGATTACAGGTGTGAGCCACCAGCATTCAGCTGGTACTGTTTAGTAATACACAGATTTGTTCCATGCTACAAATAGTCCGTTTCCTTTAGAATTCTCCCATTTTTTGTCTTGTTTCCTTGGGGCACAGAAGACGGGGGCTCCTTCTGGGTCCTTTCTGGTGTGGATCTTCCTTCTCATCATCTACTTTTCAACTACTTACATGCAGAATTATTCCTGGCAAAGGGAAGTTCCTGGCAAAGGGAAGTTCATGTGTATAAAACTCAATTTTAGCAAAGAAAGTTTTTATTCATGCATCTAATTCAACCATCTTAATTACTCCTGACTCTTCCCCCCCCCCCCACTTCTGTTTGGCCTTCTCACTGTGGGTCTTTTCTGCTCAGTTTGGTTCCAATTGCTTGTTAGTAGTCTTGAGGACTACATTCAAATCACTGGCAGACAGGAAATACATCATGCAGATTCCTGAAACTGACAGAGAAAGTGAGGGTTTTATCTTCTGACAGTGAGATACTTGATACTTGGGTTGTGGCAAAGACAGATCCGCAGAATTCAGCAGTGTCATTTTCTGCCAGTGTGGCCTTCCCAGCAGAATTAAACTTAATCCTCAGTCTTGAAGAGGTGGATGCTTTTTATTGAAATCTGACAGAGGGCAGCGTTGGAGGATATCAACCCGGCAGAGGATCCCAATAACCAAGGCGAAGATGAATTTGAGGAAGCTGAGCAAGCAAGAGAAGATAATTTGCCAGATGAAAATGAAGAACAGAAGCACAGTGACAGAAGGCAAGAGAATACAGAGGTGGAAGAGCATCTGGTGGTAAGCAGATGCCACTCATGGGTTTAATCCCCGAGGGTTCTAATCATTTTTTTTTTATTGCAAAGGTGCTGTACAGAGGTGTTACAGCCACAAGTCAGGTATTGAACAGATTTCTTTTTGAACAGTGAGACCCCTTCCCTTATTTTCTCCCAGTTTTTCCCTCCTGACCTCCCTCCCCACTAAGTTGTAGAGTTCATTTCCAACATTGTGTCTAGTGAGTATCACTGCTGCATTAGTTCCCCTGTGCCCATCGTTTTTGTGCTGCCCATTCCCCTCCCCAAATCAAATGAACTTAGATACAAGACAAAAGGTACAGAAATTAAACACAGTGACAAAAGGGAAAAACAAAAAAAAAACCTGCAAAAAGTAAAATAAAAAACCTCTTGTTTCTACCTTTCGGAGTTCATTTTGATAAGCATCATTTTATTTTTTATTTTTTTTATTTTTTTTGTCGGTCATGGGGCTTGAACTCTGGGCCTGGGCGCTGTCCCTCAGCTCTTCAGCTCAAGGCGAGCACTCTACCACTTGAGCTACAGCACCACTTCCGGTTTTCTAGTGGTTTATTGGAGATAGGAGTCCCACGGTCTTTCCTGCCCGGGCTGGCTTTGAACCGCGATTCTCAGATCTCAGCCTCCTGAGTAGCTAGGATTACAGGCGTGAGCCACCGGCGCCTGGCTATTTTTTTATTTTTTTGAGAAAGAATTTTCCAAGTTCATTCACCTTCATTCTCAAGGACAACACCTCTTTTGAAATTGGTGAACATCCTTTCCATGATTTTGCTTTTTGCCTTATACATATGTGTATGTAAATAATACACATAATAGAAGTGTCACAGATGGAATCATTACTATAATACTCTAGAGCTTACTTTTCTTTTTTTATTGTGAAAATAACATACAGAGGGGTTACAATTACATGAGCAAGGTAATGAGTACATTTATTTATTTATTTTTTTTGTCTTTTCTTTTTTGGTACTGGGGATCGAACCCAGGACATTGCACTTGCTAGGCAAGCACTTTGCCACTGAGCTACATCCCAGCCCATGAGTACATTTCTTATCAAGCAATGTTGCCTCCTCCTTTGTTTCCCCTTCCCATCCCTTCTCATCTCCCCCCACCTTTCCCTCCCCCCCAGCACCAAAGTTGAAAAATTCATTTTTCGACATAGCATCTTGTACATCTCATTGTTGCAATGGGTCCACCTGTATCCCTATTTAAACAATTTGTTTTTTCCCTTCCCCTCCCCAAATTATACCAACATCAAATACAGTGAAAACAGGGGTTTTACCGTGGGGGAGGGACATACAAAGCAACGAAGAAATCATCTTATAAATATGCTAGAAACAATAGCAAGAAAGAAAAACTATTTGAGTGCATCATTTTATATGATCATATTCACATAGCTATTGAGCCCTTGTGATCCTCTCCTAACAATATCCTCCTTTGGTCTCACTGTGTGAATATTTAGAGTCCTGTTTAATTGATCATATCCAAGTATAATTTTTTTTGTCTTTTACTATCCATTGGGTTTACTTGTAGATTTATAGGCATATTCTAATTAGAATAAATGAGGAAAACCATAGGACCTATTTTCTTTGGGTCTGGCTTACTTTTTTCCCAAGTCTTTCTATTTCCTTATGGATTGGGGCAATATCATTCTTTCTGATGGAAGCATAGAATTCCATTGTATATAGATACCATATTTTCTTGATCCATTCATTCCACTGAGAGGCATCTGGGTTAATTGCATATCTTGGTTATGGTAAACAGTGCTGCAATGAACATAATTGTGCTGGTAGTCTTAGTGTGGCCTGGTTTGTGGTCAGTTGGATAAATACCCAGGAGTGGGATTGCTGGGTCATAGGGAAGCTCTGTTTAGCCTTTTGAGGAACCTCCATACTGCATGCTCCATACTGCATACTTTTCAGAGAGGTTGAACATCCCCTCCAGCACCTGTTACTATAAGTTTTCTTGATAATGACCATTCTAACTGGAGTGAGTTGGAATCTCAATGTGGTAGTGATTTACATTTCCCTAATGCCCAGAGATGTTAGTTTAGATGTTAGGTCTTTGCCTATGTGGAGAGGAGATTTGCTGTACTTGCAGACTGGGATGCCGTGCTCTGTGTGAGAAACTCTTGTTGTGATTTCAGGTGTACTTTTGAAGGTGGTATGCCCATCCACTGTCCCTGATCACTGTAAGGAAAGCATCTCAAACTCACAGTCATGTGACCTTTCCTTTTTGCTCCAACAGATGGCTGGGAATCCAGACCAGCAGGAGGACAATGTCGATGAACAGTACCAGGAAGAAGGAGAAGAGGAGGTAGGAAGCCTGAGCGCAGGAGACCCCATCCTCACTTTCAGTCATCCTGCCAACCTCAGACATGCTCAGGCAGACTCCGACAGCCTCCCTTGGAAGTGGTCAGAAGGGTGTGAGTGGATAGGAGAGGTGGCTTGAAGAGGGAGTGGACCATGGCAGTGGAGACATTTGGTTAGAAGATAGCCAGCATAGGGTAACAAAATCCCTCTCTGGGTCTCACCAGACACTTCAAATCCAGAAGATATTCCACCTTCCAGGAGTGGTGGGTTGAGATCTCTGACCTTTAGAAGAACATTCTCTTGGACCAGGTGTGGTGGGTTAAAACTGTAACACCAGCTATTTGGCAGGAAGAGATCAGCCTAGGCCTCCCAAAAAGCAGTCAGATCCTGTCCCCAAGACAGTTCCATGCCTGGAATTCCAGCTAGGTTAGAGATGGAGGTGTTAGGATCATCATCTGAGGCCAGCCGGGGGAAAAAAAGCAGAAGACTGAGAAATAAAAGCCTAAAGGGCTGGAGGTATGTCTTAAGTGATGGAATAAGTAATGAGTAATGAGGCTCCAAGTTCAACCCTCACTGCCACCAAAACAAAACTACTGTTGCATGTTACTTTTCCCATAAACATTGGGCATCTCAATTCATTTCAACAATGATAGCAATGTTAGTAGGAGTGTAGCTTAGTGGTAGAGCAGTTCCCTGGCATGTGAAAGGCTCTGAGTTCAGTTGCCAGCATGACAAAGAAAAAGATAAGGGAAGAATACCAAAGGAGCTCAGTTGAATAAATTGCCTTCAGGCTACATCCCGTAATAGTTCATTGTGGTCTACATTCCAGGGTAGACTTGTGTCATATTGTGGTTACTTGGGTTTCTCTGGGGACCGTGTATGTGCATGTGTGTGCGTGCACACACACGTAAGCACACACACACACACACACACACACACACGTGTCCCATAGTCCCTGACAGGAGGTGAGCAGATAGGTATGGATAGAAATGGACCAGAAAGCCTCACTTGGACCTAGCATGCTCAGCTCCCATCATGGGGACCGGTTGTCTCATTCTTACTGCTTTTGTTAGCTTTTTGGAGCTAGTGCTAAAAGGTGCCATTTATGTCTGGGAAGCGGAGGATGCTGCTCTATCTACCCCAGTGTCCTCCTGGTGCTGGATCTTTGTATCTGCTCTCTTCCCATCCTGCTGTCCATCTCCTTGTGCTGTCTTACCATCTTACCAGAATGACGCCATTACAGAAAGCGGCAGCCTGGAATATTAAGACATCTGGCAAGAAAAAGATACTCATCTGGGCATCTCTTGTAACAGGATGTCTAGACAAATATTCTTTTACTTCCCTGTGTCAGATTCTGGGGAAGTCTTTGATGGATGAAGGGAGAAAAGGTTCAACCTTGGCTTTGTTTTAAAAATTGAAGAGGGGCCATATGAAAGTTTAATCAGTATTTACTAATTCCTTTTTTTCTTTTCCAGTACATTCAGTTAAGATAGAGGAGAGAAATGCTGAGGTTGAAGAGGGAAAGAGAATAGGGACAGGGAGGAGGACAGGCAAGAGGGGAGAGAAGGAGCAGGAGGCAGAGCGTGGTTGCATCCTAAATTCCCCACCCTGCCTACTCCTCCCTCTTCAGAGCTGCTGAACTGCCAGTGATCTCTTGCTATAGCCGGCCCCAACCCTAGATCCCAATTATCTGGTACTTGCTGTCTGTCTACCCACAACCATGTGTGTGTCTCCACGTTCTAACCTTCACTCATGTAGAATCCAGGTTGTCAGCCCAACCTGCAGAACTGTTGCAGGTGAACCTTCTGTGGGGAAAGAGGGGGAGGTGGGGCGGGGTGGGGAAGCCCAGCAAGCCTTTTTGCTTTCTTCCCCCAGTAACTTTTCTTTCTGTCCCCCGAATATATACTGTTTAAGCTGGGTTGTCTTTTGCTGACCTTTCCTAAGCTAATAAGTTTCGATATCTTTCCACCGCTTGGAAAAGACATACTTTGTGTGTGTGTGTGTGTGTGTCATAGATAAAGAGGGTGAACATTGTGGCAACACTTGGAAAGCCATGAAGTGGGGTGTCACTGTACCCACTTAACTCCAAGTGTCACAGCAGACTTACAGACTTCTACCCAAGGGTGAATTACCTCTCCCTTCTTTTTACCTTGGCTATAGTCATAGTTGTACCATTATGGCCTACCCACGTTGCTTATATTCTAGACATTTTATCTACTTTTGAGCAAACTACACATATCATAAACAACTGCTGCCCTCAGTGCAGTGTAAATCAGAAAAGATAAAGTATTGGTGAAGTTTTGGAAAATACTGTATTCTGATTGAAAAATCTGCATTCTTTAATTTCTTCATCCCTTTCCTCCCCTCTTGCCTCTTCTCCCACCTGTTTTTCTATCCTTAATCCCTTTCGGAGCTCAGAATTTCTCTCCTCTACCTTAACTAACTGAATCTGAACACCTGGGAGAGGATGCTGCCAGGTTATTTACTCACCTTCTGAGACCACACAGCCTCATTGGGAGATTCTGATTGGCCAAAACCATCCTGCTAATCATTGTTCAGCGAGTGGGAGTGGCCATCCTTGTAGCCAACACTGCCAGCCACCACCCATGCGTGACCCCTTACGTAACATCTTCCACATGTAAAACAAGAACGTGTCTGTGTGTGGCCGGCTCTCCAGAGCCCATTTCAGATCCAGTGATCACTCTTACATTGTTTTGACCGTTGACTAAACTTAGCATGTAGGCTTCGTTTCCCAAAAATGCCTACAGCTTTAGATTTCCACAGGGAGAAATGAGGACTGTGAAGGAAGAGTGTTGGAATGTCTCCAGCTGTGCAAGAGATTGTCAGAGGCTGCTAGGGATGACATGAGTGGTGTGGCTGTATCATCCAACATTTTGGCTCTGGGCTATTAATTTAAGCATATTTTAAAGATCAATTAGAAACACCCTATCATTTTATTCTTTTTCTAAGACTACTTTTAAGATGTCTTTGAATTACTTTTGTCCCAAACATGAAGGATATATTACTAAAACAAATATGTCCGTATGGCCAGAAAGCTACCGAATATTCATTTGTGGATTCTCTCTTAAACAAACAAGTCATCTAAACCATATGGTTGCCAACTAAGATGACTGTGGCAACTGGTAAACCAGCTAAGTTGTTGATGACAGATTGCAAGGGTGGAGAGGAAGTTTCTCCACTGGGTGATTCTTGTGAGAATCAGGAACTCTTCACCCAGCATCTGTTATTACTCAAGGATGTGGTTTCAACCTTGGTTCCATCTCTTCTTGCAGAGTTTGTGAAAGATACAAGTCCCTGGACCTTGCTTTACCCATGGGGCTTCTGTGTGGTGGAGCCTGGGATTCTGAGTTCTTCTCAATCCCCTACTCCTCATCTCTAGCCAGTGCTAGTGTTTCCAGAAGTCAGGTGCAGGTAGCTTTTGGGGACTGCAAACCTCTCAGACTTGACATGCAGAAGGTTGAGTGTCAAAACTTTCCCACAAAAGCCTTACAAGGACCCTGACTGTCAAACCCCAATCACACTGAGGACTAAAAATCATTGATGTTTATCCAATTCCTGTTTTATTTGAGGCCTAAGAAACTTGACCTTCAGAGAGGTTAGCAACAGTTGTCAAAGTCCCACACCTTTCTATTCATTATGAGTCATAATTAGAGCTCATCCAATTCATTAAAAAATATCATTATTAAGTAGACAGACTTACAGTCATTAAGGGAGATTTCTTTAGAAATGGGGCCAGAAAGAGTATGATGAAACTAGAACGTTATCTGTTTTCGTGACTTTTAATTAGAATAATTAACCTTGCATTGGTTCAAGTGCCAGTCCACAGTGGATGGTGTCCCGGGGTGAGCAGAGGTCAGGAATTTACCCTGGAGACCTTGGCTGTCACAGAGCAACCACAATCAGGGAAACAGACAGGAAACACCATCAGCATCACCTTGGAAAATACCCTCGGCTTTCAACCTGAACTGGAATTCACTCATACTTTTAACTTCCATTTATAAAAAATGCGAGGGCTAGAGGGCTTTGAACCCTCACAGAACTGAGCCTAGAGCACGGAGCTCCCTACAGGAAAAGTTGATGATAGTGTGGAGGGAAAAAGAGCGTTGGCGGGGGTGGGGGGGTGGGGGGGGAGGGAAGGGAGCACAGGTGCACAATAACACAGTGTTTGTTTAGACCCACCGTATTAAGACTACCCTGAGTTCAGCAGATAGCATGGCCCTGATCGTCCATCCGGCATGGTAACAGATAGGCATTGGGCATTGCTTCTGGAAATGCACGTGTGTACGGAGGGTCACATGGTAGGCTGTCTAGAATTTTAAGAATAATTCGGTTAAAAAAAAATAGCAGTGTCCTAGATGAGAAAACTTCTGAATGTTGGTGATGGCTTTGAGACATGCTGAGTCATTTTGTATTGATATGTGCTTGAGAGGGACAAGTTAAACAGTGGAGTACTGGGTGTGTGTGTGTGGCACACTCCTATAATCCAGGCCTCAAGAAGCAGAGGCAGGAAGAGCAGGAGTTTGAAGGCATGTCAGACCATCCCCAGACAAATGAAAGATCAAATGACCTTAATCCTTACCGGAGAGAGATACTGCCTAGCAAAGGTTTTGGCTTTAAAAATTGTTTTTGTTAACTTTATTTTTGTATTGAAAGTACAAAGGGGTTTCAAATACAGCGCATCTGGATTGGTGTCACCCATTCCAGCATTCTCCCCTCTCCATCTCTCCCAACGCCACCCTTCAGTGTTTTCTTTAATAGGTCTATCAGCTGTTCCTTTATACTTAGTGGACAAGCCCAATGCAGCCTTTCAATCTTTCTTTCACATTTATTTTCAGTTCATTAGTGCTACCCTGAATGGCCCTTTTGTGAATCCAGACAGGCTGGTGCAGGTGTTTCAACGTCCAGAGCATGACCCAGGATCTGTGGTCTGTTTTAGGTTCAGGAAGATTTGACTGAAGAGAAGAAGCGGGAACTGGAGCACAATGCTGAGGAGACTTACGGTGAAAATGATGAGAACGTAAGCTGAGTCTTTTCATTGAGTGCTTGTGGGGAGGAGAGGATGTGTGCTGTACACACAGCGTTAAGTACACAGCATGGGGCTAGCCACCTTCCGCCTTTCCCTCCCCTTTCAAGGTGATCGTGAATTGAACAAACCCAGCTGGAATTAGAAGTTCTGACAACCTTCAGAGTAGAGAGGTTATTGCTCTGCTGCCTGTAGGATCATTTTTCTTAACTTAAAAGGATAACTCTGCCTCCTTCCTTAGAATTGTTTTGTGGGGGTATTGGGGCTTGAACTCAGGTCTTCGGCTCAAGGCTGGCACTCTACTACCTGATCCATGGCTCCACATCTGGCTTTTTTGCTGCTTTATTAGAGATAAGAGTCTCATGCAGTTTTCTGTCCTGGCTGGCTTTGAATCTTGATCCTCAGGTCTGAGCCTCCAGGGCAGCTAGGAATACAAGGGGTGAGTCACTGGCAGTAGCCACGGGCACCTGACACACAGAATTACTCATCACTAACTGTACATCCTGTCCCCTCGTTTTTTGTTATTTTTCTTTTTTGCAACTGTAAGGTTGATGAGAAACATAACGAAAGAGAAGAACAAGAAGTTCGGGCACACAGCCGCCTCCGAGGTAGAGAGGAACACTACGAGGAGGAGGAAGAGGAGGAAGAAGATGGGGCTGCTGAGAAATCCCACCGCAGAGCCGAAATGTAGCAGAGCCCAATTCCCCAACAAGGCTCAGCCAACACAACGTTTTCTCAAGCCGCTCTAAAATCAGTCTGCCTACCGAACTCTTAGGATATTTAATTGCAGAGATAATTACGGATTTAGACTTTTGTAACTTTTGTATTAGAAATGCTCATACATTTTTATGGATATATTTTGGTAACTTAGATTAGGATGTCTTTTATATTCAAATCAAACATGAGCAAGAAATGCCAGAAAGCAAGTCTTGGCCTCTGTATATCTCATTTAACTTGGATTTAGCTTTCTGTTTCTAGTTCTTTGCCTTTGATAACATACAGGATATTTTAAAAGCAGGAATACTTGCAACGTGACTTTCAACTAAGGAGAATGAATAACTCACTAACTGGTGCTCTTCCAACATCCCAGTATACTGTTCTGATAGAATTTTCACTGGCCCATGAGCTTCTCGAACGAGACCTTGCTATTGGGAAGCCATTTTTCATGCAGGTTAGAGATCATTTTTTTCAGATATCTCGGGTCAGTTAGAAATGTGTTGGGATTACTTTAAAAAAAAAATCACCATTGTTCTTCTTGAGAGGAATCGAATTTAGAAGCAGGATAATACCGAATCTTAATTCGTGACCTAATCTGGCGTGTGCACTGTTCAAAAATGTGTGACACATCAGCATATTCAACTTTCTGAAGAGCTGATGAATCACTCAAAAATTGATGTAGTGTGTGTATGGGATTTTCTGTGAGCATCCACTCCCAATACGTTTCTTTTTCTGAAGTCACTCATCCACACTTGGCTCCCTGTACTAATAGATGTTTCTCCTTTCGTCTCTGTGCTTCTGAATATAATACCGTTGATCACAATTATGTAAAGGGAGTCATCACTAAACTGCACATTGTAATGATTATTTTACACAGCTATCTAGCAAACTATGTACACAGTGATATGACAGACGTTTTTGGCTTTTCTGTTTTGTGGGAATATTTTGTCTGCCCTTTGCCTATATATGTAACATTTTTAATGACTATGTCTTAAAAACAAGAAAAATCAATACAGCCAAACATTTCTTCTGAAAGAGACCTATTTCAGTTGCAAGCCTAACTATTTTTAAATATGTAGAACTAGGTTATATAATTCATAGACGTATGGTTTTTAAATAGTACTTTGAAAATAATAAAAAAATTATTTTCTACCATTATCGTATGACTATAATTTTATTTTTTTTAATAACTACACTCATGTATGGTTTTGATTAGCCCAGTTGAGCTATTGTGTATGTATGCCTGGAAATGGTATGTTCAAATGTATTTTGGATTTCTAATAATCATAAATCTTACCTTTATGTATAAAAATCCCTTGTGTAATGTAAAGTGTATAATATTGTACATAATACTCAGAATACAATTATTTTGGTAAATTAGTTTGTATTTTTAATGTCTCAGTTGTAGTATTTAATTATTTGAAACTTGGTAATGGTCAATAAAGCTCTACAAAAACAAATGGTAAATCTTTAAAATTTTGCAGTCTGTTATTATTAGTTTCGGGTATAACATTGTAGGATGGAACAAACAGAACATAGCCTCATAAAAAGAAACAAAAGGCCAAAGCAGAGAGGAGAGTTGTGGTGCTTTCTCTTCTTATATCTTGCCATATCTTTTGCCAGCAAAGTTTAATTCAGAGGTTGGCTCATGAAGCAACCATTTTCCATTTTTATTTGACCTAGATGGACATAAATTTTTGTCATTTGCTACCTGAAGATTCATGAATAATACCCAGATACTGTTTAATCTCTTTAGATCATGTATGGCACACAGTTGCACTGTAGTGTGTTTACAACATCACCTTTCTCAGAAATGTCATTCAGCTCTCATGAGCTTGCCTCTCCCTTGCCTCAGTGCTTGCCTTGGGTCCCTGTTATGGCAGCTGCTCCGGGGAGCAGGCCATGCCTGGGTCTTGGATAATTGCAACTTCTTACAACAAATGAATGGTAGAGCTGAGAATTCTTAACAGGCGAATCTGATTCAACTATGAGTTGCCTGGGTCATTGTTCAACATCACATTATAAATTTCATAAACTAAGAAGGTGCATGTTAAATTGTGCAGCAACAAATCTTAAAGAGTGTCCAAAAAGAAAAAAAGACAGTATTAATGTGACAAAGGGAAAACTTTTTAGTTATTGCCCCCAAATATAGTAACTTTAAGTAAATTACATGTCATTTTTTTTAACCTATCATTTTTCCTCTTGGAACTGCCATTGAGGCCCAGAAAATCAGAAGTAAAACATTAGGTATTATTGTACTAAGGTTAAGAATTCTTGTCTATCCTTATTTATTATTTCTACTCCAAAGATTGACATAATATAATGACCATTCAGTATATCTTGCAGTAGTTCAAAGCCTCAAGGACTCATTTTAAATTTTCTCAACTCATGCTGAAGAGAAAGCTGCCAGATAACAGCACATAAAGGAACACAGCCCAGCCATGTTGTAATAACAGATTTTCATAACCAAGGCTATAGTGGGACCACAGACTATAGTCACTTGATCTCTATAGTCCAAAGCTTGTGATTACAATTATTTCCACAGAAAATACAGGAGTTTGAGGTCTTCAGGTATTCAGGCTTTCTATTTGTGTTATAATTCCTTCCATTTTTTAGCTGGCAAGTCCTGGACCTCACCTCAGCTGTTGTATTTGTACGCCATTTTTAAGTAATTGGAAATGAAATATTTTTGTCCTTTACATCTTGGCTGACCTTGTACTCCCCATTCCCCATAGGCTACTAATGGAGCTTGAAATTAAATGTCATTTCTGTTTATCTGTTAACACACTTCTGTTTATTAACACGTACCTAACATTTTCCAGAAAGAACATGTATGTCTTTTATAGAACAGGTTTATTAGAAGCCATGGGCTAAAACACAATGAGATGGCATCTTTTGATCAGGTGTGCTCTTTCTTCTTTTTAAGATTTAAAGTATGAGTACCAATTATAAGGGGTACCTATTCATTCATGACAGTAAAATTTATATATCAGCTTATGAGAGGATTTTTAGATTAATTAATTAATTTTGCCTGCCCTGGGGCTTGAACCCAGGACCTGGGTGCTGTCCCTGAGCTTCTTTTGCTCAAGGCTAGTGCTCTATCCCTTTGAGTGACAGCGCCACTTCCAGCTTTTTCTGTGTAGTTTATTGGAGATAAGAGTCTCATGGCTTTTCCTGCCCAGGCTGGCTTCACAAACTGACATGCTTAGATCTCAGAGTCTTGAGTAGCTAGGATCACAAGCCAAGCATGAGCCACTGTCTCCTGGATAAGAGGTTTATGGTTTGTTTGTTTTTTGTTGTTGTTGTTGTTTTTTAGGTACTTGGTTTCTGTTAAGTTTCTGTATCCTAGTGGACTGACACTTAAACTGAAAGCAATCAAAACACTTTTGTCATTTACCCTAGCTGGATATTTTTTTGTGATCATACGAAAACTAGTTTACAGTATCTTTGTTGGTCTACCCTTCAAGAGGTGAAATCTAGGTAGCTCTCCTCCCTTTGTGTGTAGATTTAGTTCATGTATTGGCTTTGAAACAAATAGAATTTAATCAAGGAACCATGTGAGATTCAGGTGACAAATTGTAAAAAATAATTGAACTTCCTCCATACTGTCTTTCTTGGATCATTTACTCTTGAGTGAGCTAGGTGCCGTGTCACAAAATTCTCCAAACAGGTGATAATGAGACTTCCATCCTCTCAGTAAGAAACTGAGGCCTCCTTCCAGCAACCAAATCAAAACTTGAAGCCTCCAACCAGCAGCTACATGAGCGAGGAGTGAACATGGAGCAGATTTTCCAAGCCCCAGTCAAGTAATGGGATCACAACATCCTGAAAACCCCCTGAGCCAGAACCACGCAGGTCATTCATCCTAGGTTATTCCTGGCCTGCACAAAGCATGAGACAATAAATGTTTCCTCACGTAGGTTCTGGAGTAATAGAGTACACAGTAACAGATGACTCATACATCTTCTGAGCAGACTTAAACTCAAAAGGGGAGGGGACAAAGGTAAAGATGGGATAGCAGTGCGGTGGACCTGGGCATGGAGCCAGCTATTCTAGCCAGGCCTTGATGTGGCTATCGAGAGATGATGGAATTCAACCTAATGGATTGGATAAACGTAAGCCGACTTATTTGTTTTACATTATGACATGACTTTTGGCAGACATTAGTAGTATCTCAACCTTAGCTAGCTATCTGATGAGCTTGTAAAATAGTGATGCCTGTATCCTACTCTTAAAAATGAGTTGGCCATTAAGGGCATGTCTTCCTTCTTCTTGGTCCTCAGTCATGACAGATGGGCTGCATTCCACTAGACCTGTTCAGCTACCATCTCTAGGTGCTTCGCAAACCCTGTTTATCCAAGAGCTTTTCTTCTTACACAGGCTACATATTTGCTTTGGACTGTTTGGTTCTGTGGCTGATGAGTGTATTAAGAATGGATGGACTTTGGACAGATGCCAGCGGTTCAGGAAGTGGCGCTGTAGCTCAAGTGGTAGAGAGCTCACCTTGACCTGAAATGCTTAGGGACAGCGCCCTGGTCCAGAGTTCAAGCCCTACAACTGACAAAAAAAAAAAAGTTCCTCATTTCCTTTGGGGCTGGGAAGGTGGCTCAGTGGTAGAGCGCTTGCTTTGCCAGCGGTTCATGCCTGACATCCTCACTATTCACTGGGGACCAAGATTCTGAGGATCAAGGTTTGAAGTCAACCAGGGCAGAAACGTCTGTGAGATTCTTTTAACCATGAAAATGCTAGAAGTGGAGGTGTGGCTCATGTGATAGAGCACCAGCCTTGAACAAAAAAGCCAAGCAAGAGCAGAAGACCCTGAGTTCAAGCCCAGTACTGACACAAACACACACACACACACAAACAACAATTTTTAAAGGTAAAATGGGTACCATTCCTGCCCCAACATCTCTGTACAAGATGGTAAACTAAATGAAAGCCTGCAACTCCTCAATGCAAATCCTTTCAGGTAATTAAAAATAGACATCTATAGTCTTTAGAAGGCTCATTGATGTCACAGTATCTGCCCTAAAAGGCATGTCAGGAGGCATGAGAATTTACTGTAATACCCTAGGAACAGAGTTTTGCAAAATGTCTCATCCAATGCAATGATTGCATCTTCCCTTCTGTCCTGCAGAGGATGCTGGGATTGCCAGGTCCTCCTACCTCCCACTGAGAGGGTAGAGATGCCTGTATAACACTTCCTCCAGAGTTCCCCAACGAAAACAATCCCTTAATATTCACTGTGTCCAAGTAGATAGTGTTGGATTGAGGTGAAGATCGGGAAAGCTGGAAGCACTGGCTCCGATGAAATCCCTGCAGCCATCCTGGCTGTGTATTAGAGGTGTGAAGGATTCTAGTTTGGGTCTGGAGTGACCTCTGAAGACATTACATCACAAGTTAGAGGCTTCAGGAAGACCAAGGTCCTTTAAGACGAAGAAGTCAGGTGAAAGACTTCCTTTAAAGGAGATGCTGGGAACTCAGCCCCATCCTATCTCTCTTGGCTTCCCATTCATCGCCATGATGTTTGTACCATGTAGCCACAGGTCCAAAGTAGTTCAAAAATCAACCAGAGCAGGAAAGTTCATGGGACTCTTATCTCCATTTAACCACTAAAAAGCTGAAATTGGAGCTGTGACTCACATGATAGAGTGCTAGCCTTGAGCAAGGACAGCACCCAGGTCCTGAATTCAAGGCACTGGACCTGTACCAAAAAAAAAAAAAGAAGAAAGAAAAATTGGTTTTGATCAGCCATACCTCAAGTGTATGTCCATTTATTAGGACATCATAGTGTTAACTTCCTAAGTAAGTTTCCATCTGTCCATGCATACCCACTCACTTTTATATGAGGACATCAACATTAGTTTTTTTTTAATCCATATACATGAATTGTACAAGTTGAGTTTCATTTTATATATGTATGTAAAGTATCCTTATCAATTTTGTCTTCTCTATCAGTCTCTCCCACCCCTCCCCTCCTCTGAAAATAATTTCAACAGCTTCCATTGTTCTAAATTACAAATGTGGAAATAGAGACACGGTTCTTACCCAGATTCTCACTGGGGAATTTCAGAATACTACAGTTGGGAATTGTGCGAGTCAATAGTTGTACTAATCTCTGTTCTTAGATACAGAAGCTCATAAAGCAATCAATTGCTTTGCCTCAAAACAATGTTTCGCAAGCCTGCAAGCTGGCTTTTATAGAGTCACCCAGAATCCCCAAAGAGAGCCTGTGGGCTGTTTAATTAGCATCATTTCTGAGTAGGAAAAACAAATATGCCATGATACTATAGGAATATGATTACATGTATAAAGGAAACAAAGTTTTGAGAATGATTCCCCTGGCCTTTGTGTTTTATTCCAGTTTCATGGCAGTGTTGATCAGGGTATTGTGTCAGAATCATGGTGAGCAACTCACAAAGTTACTCGTCTATCTATTCCTGGTAGAAACCAGCATCTA